ATTAATTTATTAATTTTTTTTGAAGTTTCATCAGTTTCGGTTTCTTTAAAATTCATACATAGAGTGTTTGTTTATTAACTTGCAATGTTATCTATTTTTTATGTCAATATTTCTTTCGATAAATATTGTATTAGAAAAATTCTTACAAAGAAGTAATTTACTATTATCTATTTTTTTTTTTAGATGCTTTATATATTTCTATTTATTATTTTATATAATATATACAACCATTAAAAATTTTATCACCGTGACCGTGAGCGCTATATCTTGTTAACATAAAGTCGCAACTACATCCAACTACGACAATTTGCCACGGAATTGAAATGCTCCTATAGATAGGGGATTGTTATATAACACTTTCAACTATATCGTCGCATGAGATACACGCTTACTGGTGAAGACACGTGCACAATCAGTTGCACAACGGATATTTATTGCACGAGAACAGATCTCGTTATCGAGAAAAATTTTCACTTTGCGAAATGTTTCATATGCAAGCAAAAATTTTGTCTGCATAATAACGTGTGCAGAGGTAAATTAATTAAACAATTGATATTGTATAAACGACTTAATGCCTGTTTCTAACAGTTAAAGTTTCTAACAGTTTTAATCTTAGTTTAACTAAACTCTTCAGCTTTTTTTAGTTTTAAGAAAGAATTAAAAAAGGATGAAGAATAGATTAAATCGTGAGTTAAATAAACATTGTATTTTAATAAATCAATATACTAATCAAAGCTATAAAATTTTTTAAATGTCAATACAAACAACAAAGCATTATTTATTACACTAAAATACTTTGAAATACTATGAAAAATGTATGTAATGCTACCGTATAATATTTCTGCACTTTTACAATTTGCAAAATGATAATAGAATTTAAATTATATCGCTCAGTCACGATGGATGCACAAAGTAACTGAATTAATTCTTCAAATAATTCGCAATTTGATCTTTTCTCAAACATGATCAAAGATTCAATTAATGAACAGTGTACCATAGAAAATTGAAATTTTCTACAAACTCAACATTAATTTCGGGTTGCAAACAAATATTTGAGAAAGTTAAAAAATTTCCGCAGAAAGTAGGGAATCTTGTATGTGAGAAACTTCTTGCAAACATATTCGCATATGAAATTAAATTATCCTATTTCGTACAAATCTTCCGAAATAATTGCTAGATTATTTTACTTGCTCTCGTTAATGAATCGTTAATATTGACTCGTTAATATTGATAGGTGGGAATGCTCGAGCAAGAATTCTTGATGGACGACACGTCATATCGACGATAAAAAGTATTATTATTTCTCGCGCTATTTAAGATTCTTTCATGTACTCAAGTCCAAAACGGCAATATAATATCCAGGACACGTGTGCGCATATTAGAATCGTCGAGTGCCGTCCATAAATGACTGCTGATGAACGGGATAATTGCGCCATTAGTTTTAAGTCTCAAGACAAACGAGAATAATCGACAGGAAATAATCCCGGCATTTCGTTGCGGATTTTATGTCAATTATGTTGATCACATATCGACTTTTAAATTAATGAAGCTCTGAAAAAATAAACGCTCTTACAAACAAATTACCGAATACAGTTTCAAATAAAATTAAGATACTTTCTGTAAATTTAATTCACGGCAAATATATGATTAGAAAATGCTAGGCATGATATTTATTTCAAACATTCGAAAAAACATAAAGAACATTTATTAGCAACGTATCTGATTAACGTAACAAAAAAATGTAATAGCATTTTTGAAAGCGCAATTACTTTTTATAATTTATAAACGTATAATCAGCTGTATAAGATATTCTTATTAAATATACCCGTATTTAAGTCGTCTTATGCAAATCTGCTGTAATTACAAAAGTTTAGCAACTGCAATCATCAGCCAAATTCGAGTTAAATGTGCACCGAAATGCCGGATATTAACGAAACACAAAGAGCGAAAATTCATCCTCTTGTACACTTGTACTTAAATTGTTCTTCAGCAATGCCTACATGTATGTGATTGTATGTTAAAAATTTTTAATTCTGTCGAATGTTAATCTAAAGTTAATTAATGGATTCTGCCATGATTATGTTTATGATAATCAATGCCCGAACAGATGTCGGCCAAAAACGTGTCAATGATAGGAAATTTCTTTCGAGGATGAGCATTTCGAGGATGTATGCTTATTAATTAAGTGAAGTACATTATGTAGTAACAAGTGTCAATTTTCATGTGTAAGCTTAAATGTATGCGCACAATTATTTCATAATCAAGGTAGCTAAAGTTCCTCATTCAATCGTATTTCCAAATTATTTCACGTTGTGTCAATTTTCTCATGTCCATTTTTTCTCATGTCAATTTTCTCATGTTTTTTTAGAATTTAAACAACAAAATTAGAAAAAAGTTCTTACATTACAGCTATACAGTATTTAAAATCATTTTATCTATCATTTTATCATTTTAAATGAAGATCTTCTGTCACTTAATGACATGCTTTAACAGGACAAATATTTATTCCCGTGACAATAAAAACGCCAACATCCTCGAAGAAATAGATACATTTAGCATCAAAAATATGAAATATTAGTTTAAAAAAATTCGGGTCAATAATATATCAAGTCACTACAACAATGAAAAATCTCATGACTCAAAATCTCAAAATAATTTATGAAATTTCATAAAATATCTACCATTCGTAAAAAAAAAAAAAAAAACATTTCGTTTGATTCAATATTTATTATTGATCCAAAATTTTTATTTACAACATGTGATTTATATAGATATCAGCTTGATTATTTTTAATAATTTCCGAATTAATTACGATGCTAATTTTTTTCGTAATGTGTCCAACGAAGTGGACGTTTCTACATTATTCTAGTCAATACGAAGAGAGAAGACTCCCATGTATGTAATCAGAGAAGCGAATCGAAGAAGGTTAAGCTTGACATACAACGAAACCGTGGACGAACTTCGTATGTGTGGATAGTTTGTTTTAACAAGAAGGGGACCACGGCGAGTTAATAAATGTAATCTAGACTCAACGATTGAATTGTAGCCGCCTCTAAGAACGTGAGAAAATCGTTGTTTTATTTTATACTCTCGTCTGATCTTTGTAATTATAAGGCTCGATATTCTACAATCTCTACTATAATAATGTTCATTATAATAATTTATGAAATTATGCATATTTTAAACAGCACATTATAGAGATCTTTTTCTCTTGATATGAGCTTAATGATGCCTGTTCTTTGCCCATCCGCAGAGCTAAAATTCTATTTTGATTTCAAAATTTTGAAAGACCTCTAGCGTCAAAGTAAATTCATATAATTACAAAAGTAAACTCTGGGCGGATGTAGGAGAGAACTGTAAACATCGGACGAACGATTTTCTACACTAGCCAACTTTCCGACAAAAAGTTAATGAAATTGCATCATGTTACCGTGGCGTCGACTAACCGACGAGTAATATTTTTTTTCTCATCGATCCTAGCAACTCTAGTAACTTTTAAAAAGACTTTCAAATAAGATATTCTATTTAATTCAATTATTGCTTTGTAAAAAGAACTGCACTTAAAATCGTCGCCTAATTATTTTACTGGTAAATTTAATTAGTTAAAAACCTAGTTTTATGTAAAAATATCACGGTGCAATGTAAAATAAAAAATTTGATATTCAAAATGCAGAAATAAAAGTCTCAATGTAATTGATCAAAAAGGAAAACTGACTGCAGGAAGCTATTTTTTTTCTTCCCCTAAAAAGAGCAAAGAGAAACCAATGCGAATTCGAATAACAAACGCGACAAAGCAACCCATGCAACTGCAAACATCAAGAGAAATGAAAATAAGATAAATACTTCATGAAATCTCAACAGAATGAATGGAATTTTACTAAATCAACATTTCAATGCTTTAGATATCCAGAAAATGATTTCGGAATTTATTCGCAATGGAAATGCAATAATATGAATTCTTTCTTATTGTATCTATTGTTTCGTATTGTGTTTATCTCATGCAAAAACCAGATTCCCTGAAGTGATATCGAAACTATCAAATTATTACGCTATCTTCGACTTTAGAGTACATATTTGTGTAGAAACGATCGATCGTCCGAGTGTTACGACATTTAATTAAAACATCGACGTTCTGCAGTATTCAATGTCTTATAGATTAGATATATTCGTAGACATGTAAATATGTATGTATGTATGTATATGGGGCGCTTGTGTGCATATGTACAAACTTGGCCAAAGTGTATACATAGATGTTAATTACGTCGATGTGCAGCTACTGGCGCAGCACGAGCTCTCGATTTACTCGATCAGAATATACATATCGACTTTCTTTGCGCTAGGTAATCCTTCCCGAACGATAAAAAAAAGAAGTATATTTGTTATAGAGAACATAATAGAGCACGATAAAAGATATTTTGACAAGTCCAATCAATTTTGATCGAGTGATTAAATGTCGTCTTTAACGAGCACATCATTTAACTAATTGAATATGTCATGTGTGACAAATAATGTATCGAATCATATTGAATTGAATTAAACGCTAGTTTTTGCAGTCCAATTATTACGTGTGCTGCGATAAATATAACGCTCGACTGGAAAATGACCGTCGATTAATACGATAATTCTATAAGCAGATATAAGGTATAAGTTGTATCTATGCTTTCGCGAGAATTTCAATTTAGCGCTGGCAGGTCCAGTTAATATTATAAATGTTGAACGACAAAGCTAGTCAATTGTTGAAGTAAAGAGGTCTCGAGTGAATCATATTAATTAATGAACACCGGGTCATTTATGCTCAAAATCGACAATTTTCCTTTTCCATCAATAAACATTTTTCTCTTATCCAAAAATTTATTTGATAAATTATTTTGGAGAAGTTGAATAATTATTTTGAAGAAGTAAAATAAATGTATAATAAACTTAAAGAATTATTCCATTAATATGGAATTTCTTTAAATAAACAGATATTTATATTTTGATCAAAACAAAATTGAAATAATACGAAATATTCAAATATTAACCTTCTTAAATATTTATCATAAATTATATTTGATCGTTATATATTGATCAATAAATATATCTTTATATTAAATCAAAATAAAATAAATTTCACGCGCAAAACTATCGACGTAAAACTGGAGCACAAATTATTCACGTTAACTTTTACTCGAAATTACTGTGCATTGAACGTATTGGAGTAATCGTAAGTGATGTAAGTTCTTACATTATAAGTCTGACAACTACATGTTTTACAGCCTAGAAACCCAATTAGCGTCACAAAAGTTAATCGTCCAAATAATGGCGGTAGCCATTAGCTGTCAACAAGATTTATGGTAGTACATCTTTATTTTTGCAGATTATTTTTCGGAAAACCGAATCCTTAAAAATTCCTTAAAACTTATCTATGTTCGATGACAGAGAAGTAACTTATTTTTCAAATTTTTTTAATAACTCGAATGTTAAACAAGCGAAGGCTAGATTAATTCAGATATAGCATGCGTCAAATGGAAAAATATCTCGTTGATAATGTGTTAAGAGATGTTGTAAACGGTATTAGAAAGTATTTCACAAGAATCGGCATGTATTGATTGATATTGAAATAAGAGTCGATTGCTTTTTTTTCGACAGAAAAAAGTGTTTCCCTTTCAGATTTCCCTACAATTTGCCTACAATGGGAAAGTATGGAAACTTCTACGATGTCGATAAAATGTTGATAAAATGTTGCGTCATAAAGTCAATATGTAACGATACGAGTTGATGGTTACTAGTTGAAATACCTGAAATCGAAAGTACATGAAATAGGACGAAAAATGTATTATTTATTATCACTTCGAAAAAAATGTTTATGTAACTTTGATGGCCTAAAGTTTATTGTGACAAAACACATCAATATATTATAGCCATAATTGCGCGCCGTAATTAACACTGACGATACAAAATAAATTTTTAACAAAATTAAAGTGTTTCTATTATTTTTCCTTCTTCCATTGTGATTTTCTACGATAAAATTATTTCTTCAAAATAATAAAACATTTGAGAAATATAATTCATGATTAATCTTATATCTCAGATATAATCTTCTATTATCTTTATGTGCTTATAAATACAAATAGTTGATTAATTTGTGATTAAGATTTATATAATTTTATATTTATTTAATATACTTTTATATCATATATTTTATCTTTGATTTAATTAAGAAAATTTCCTTTAATAAAATAAAAAATCCAATCAAATAAATTTTGTTTTGTTCTCGTAAAAATTGGATTGAGAGAACACGTTTCTAAGTATTGATGATGTCTTTGAAATATATCTCAAACTAGTTTAGTACTTCCAGTTAACCTACTCAGCAAGAAAAGAGGTTTTCTGACCTGACCTGTATTCTCACGGTTTCATTCTTTTAAGAACAGCAATTTAATATAGGAATTGTCGAATAGCCTAGCAATATATAACTTTCCTAATGTTGATAAACGTAGACTTTCAATTCTTTAATAAAACAAGTTAGTATTACTTTATTAAAACAATTTATTAAAATATGTTGAGATTTTATTAAAGAAAAAAAATTGTTTTATGTTCACTTGTAAAATCATTAGCTATTTAATAAAATAAATAAATAAAATACATGTCTAGAAGTTTTAAAACATGATTTATAATTATTCTTTATATTTAACTTTTTAAAAACTTGATTAACTTATTATTAAAATATTATTAAAATATTTATCAGAAGAATTAGAAAAAAAATACATCAAATTTCACAAAATTTTTGTAAAAGTATTTAAAAAGTATATAACGTACGCACAATAATAGCGACGTTTTATTAACGGTATGCTCGACTCTTTCAAATCTCCCACAGAAACTGAGGTCATTAAAACGATCAATATCTCACGTTACCAACCGCACGCACATTCTACTACAAACTAACGTTTCAAGAGAGAAATATCTATTCCAAGTTGAAATAATAAATAAAATCGTTGAATAAGGTCACCAAAGATAAAAATCATTCTTGAAACCGTCTACGATCGATCGCCAGAAAGTTTTTTTTTAATCAATTTCCTCGCATTTTCTATTCCACAAGATGTCGCCGAATACGTTTTTGTCGAGAGGATAACCTGACAAAGATTACTGCAGTCGGCGATAAACTATCGTGGTAAATACTTGAAACAAATACCATTATGTGCTCGCTCAAGAATGCATTTTTGGACATCAGTTGATACAAAAAGATACGCAAGACATATGTCGTGATACGTAATATCACGACGCAATGTTCGCGCTGCACATTGTTCGTCCGAGAGTCCGATTACGTAAAATCATCGATAAGATGCTCCGACTCGAGTCAGTGAATGGAGGACGTGAATTGGATGCTCTAAACAAACGGACGACATGATAACTGACTTCAGTTCTACGGTGGCGTGTATGTACATATGTTACTCACGTGGCAAGACATTACATTGTTGGAGCGGTCCACGTGAGCGGATAAGAAGCTATTTGAACAATAATCGCAATCTCAAATATCACTGATTTATCAATAAATGATCTAGTTTACCAATGAATGACCTTCCGCGAAAGAAAACAGCAAATTTATCGGAATTTCAGTGAAAAAAAATAGTAGTGCAGCTACTTCGGATCAATAACGTATTTCGTTTCATCTAAAAAAATTTAACTCTTTGTACAAAATAATTTGGATCTGATGTAAAAATACAATTTATATTTGAAACAAAATTATAATTCCGGTGCTAATGTTCTAATTAATCGAAAAACATTGATTTATTTTATTTAAATAATTCATGTTAGATTAACTAAATATGCAGACATAAATTTTTTTTACATAACTCAAGAAAGGCAATAATGTTAATATCTTCATGTTAACATTTTCGCGTTATTTATTATTTCTTAAATGTTTTATTTATTATGTGAAACAATAAGAACTGCATATTTAATAATAAACTAACTACTAATTTTCTTAAATACATTCAAATTCCAATTTACATTTAAACGTGTTTAAATAAGAAATAAATACGTGGCTTGTTATTGACATTCTATGATTTTTATTGATCGCTTAAAATAATTTTAAAAAATGTTTTAAATGCAATTAATAATTACCTTCTACTTTTATATCTATATTATTATTAAATTGATAATAAAGAAATTAAAAATGTAACTTCGGATTAAGTGTAAATTTGCAACAGTGATTGAAATGTTCAATTTATTATTTTCAGACAATGATACGTGATAAATAATTTTGATAAATAATTTATATTATTGAATAAACCGGAGCGATCAAATCTCAATTCTTTGCAATACCTCTCAGTAACAATTCTGTAATGCAAGACATCAAATTTTTAACATCCAAATTGCATCATCTGTTATCGTAAGTGTGACGACAATATCTTATTACATTTTGCCTACTCATTATATCCACTTGATATGATTATCTTGTATAACATGTGTACACACATACGCAAATTAATTCGTTCGAATACAGAAATGAAAATGAGAAATAATTAAAACTCGTAATAGTGACAAGTTTTAAAATAACAACGTAAAAAAACTTGAAAAAAGAGTTATCACACACATTTTCCGTAACAGTAACCGTAAGACATACCGTAAGAATTAGCCAATCAGTCAAGAATTGTCAAAAATTTTCAACTAATTTTCTCTGATTGGCCAATTCTTATGGTACGTTTTATGATTACTGTTACGAAAAGTGCGCGCTGGCCCTTAAGCCTATGACATAAATTTGTCATTTGAAATAATTTGTCAATCATAGAAGAGAATGTAAAGTTATTCCTTCATGTTATATATTTCCTACTGTAATTAGCTGATTCGCTTACTGATTACGTTTTATTATCTTATTATGTTAATTTTCTACAATATGTTTCTGGTTTTAATTTCAGAACTTATCATTTCCCAGCTGATCATGTATTGTCCCGAATATTTGTATTAACAAAAATTACTTTTTGATCTTAAGCGAATTTGTAATGCTTCTAATAAAATCTAGAAATCTATATTTAGTTTAATTAGCAATTTTTTACTATCGCAAAATAGAACGTAAGAAATGTATGTGAACGTAAGAATGTATGCATTGTAAAATTATTATCCAAACAATCATAAAAAGATATACAATTTTCAGATGTTTTTTGACGTTCTTAAATTTTGTAACTGATAATAGATAGATAACTAGATTTAATGCACTGAGAAAAAAATTAACTTAACTAAATGAGTTTAGTTCGTAATGATTATTTAGTTCAAATATTTATATATTTAGATTAACAAATATTTGCTTGATAGTCCGTAACCGCTACATTTAATTGAATCAACTAATATTTTTTTTTGAAAACAGCAACTCTTTTTTCTCTGTGTTTTTTCTTCTAGTGTGCTAACATAAATAAGGCTATCAGCATAAATTAATAACTAGCTCAGTGAATTGCGAAACCTGTGCGTATTTGCAGTAAAATAGCGGACTATCCAAGAACAATGAATACGTAAGAGAATTCAGACGTATAAAGAAATTCATTCATTTGCATTGAAGTTTTTTAATTAAAAAAGAAAAAAAAAGAATGGAGAAACCGATAGCGACTAACAGTGATATCAAAACTAATGAGGTAAGTATTATTATATGACATTAAAATTATAAAAATATATAAAATATTGATTGATTAAAAATTCTGCCTTTTTCTAAAAACATTTCTACGGTAAAGACAAAAACTTAATTCTTTTCTATCTTCATTTTAGTAAAAATATTTCTTTATATTTATGTATAATTTATTATATTTAATATAAACGCATTCTGTTATATGTAAATTTCAAATATATTAATCTTAATAATTAAAATATTTACATATTTCTCTCTAAAAATTTAAACTCATT